AGAGGAGGCTGGGATCTGCCTGTGGAAAAAGGTAAATAGAGGCCTAATCTTCATCCTGCCATCTCTTTCCTACTAGCTATAACATCCTGAACTCATGTGACGTGCTGAGAAGTTCACAAGCCTTTGAGTCATTTAATTTTTACCAGAATGCCTGAAATATACATTTCCCTTGTTTTCTAGATGAAAAGAACTAGGGCTTTAAGAAGAAATGTGTAATCTGTTCTCAGATATACAAACACAGAGAAGGAGTTTTTAATCTGGCGTTTCTAAGCATTCCACTTTTCCTCCCACATCCCCAGATACTTTCAACAACTGTGGAGATACTTCATTGGTGACGCTGATGTTTTAATAAAGAATGTGGAGGGAGGGCGGTTAGGAATGTAGTTGAGGGTTAATGTCTGAGCCTAGTGTACACAAAGCCCTTGGTTCAAGCCTCGGCACTGAACAAAATGGAAACAAAACAAAAGCACGGTGGCCAGGCTTACGTCTATAATCCTTGCATTTAGGAAGCTGACAGAAGAGATTGCCCCAAGTCCAAGGCTAGCCTGGGCTACAGAGCGTGACTCGGCTTTCAACAAAACAAACAACAAAAAGAATGCAGACACAGCCTTCCACATTAGACTTTTCATAACTTACATGGCTTCCATGGTTCTCAGAGAAGACTGCTATACCATCAACCGCCTTCTCCTCTTAAATATTTAAGTTAGTTCTAAAGGCTTGCCTAGTTCCAATGGGCCCCCGTGCCTGGGTGGCAAATGGGATGGAATCTCTCCAAAGGTTTGAACACGGAACTGCTGGAGGACGTTCAGCTAGTGGGCACTGTCTATGCTGCCTGTGCTCAAGGTTCTCTGAACATGTTGAAACTGGCTTACTCTGTGACATTGAGAGCCCCTTATCTGTCTTTCCTAGAAAGCCTTTAGCCCTCCGAGAAAGTGTAACTTGTCATTCTGGTCACTATGTCATGTGGCAGAATAGTCAAGATTAAGAAAACAACTAGTAATACTAATTGGTAGAAGGACACACACAAAGTGATTTTTTTTAAAAAAACTACTTCAAAAACATTAATCCCTCCAATCTGCCTCCTAGGGGCTGAAGACACAAGATGATCAATAATGCAAATGCCCCAGTAAAATGAGAACATATTATGGACCCCAAAGAACGCAAAGATTAATTTATTTGGAAAAATCACCTCTTGCCATCTGCTTGGGGAAGAAATTATGTTAAGCCTTATGAGAAAACAGTTGCCTCCTTCCCAGATCTAAGCATTTCTGTTGTGTATTGGAAAGGACCTCACTTCTAGTGCAGCCACGATAGAGATATGTTTGAGTCATGCTTCTTACATATCTTAACACATGTGTCTTCTTAGTTTATCCGTAAGAAAAACCTTGGGGACCTAGAGGAGTATTGGTAAGAGTCAATGATAACAAGCATATTTTACAGGACAGGCAGACTTTCTGGGGACCTGTTTGTTTATTGACTATTTGTGATTGGAAAACTGGGAAATTTGAATTATGTAGTGTTAATTATGAAATTGGTTAATGGAGAAGCCCAGAAGATCAACTCCTTCACCGTTGTAACCACTATTTTTTAGCTCCACCGGAAATTAGTTTTCAGAGGAATTGCTCCCATCTTTTATCCAATCTATAAATACTATGACGCTTTCCCAAATTATTCCCAATAACTCAAATAAAAGGATACTAAATTTAAGTCATGACTCATTGATGTTAGATCTAAACCATGACCATGGATGCATTATGAAGCATTTTGGTGAAAAAATTTGTCTTCTTTAAATCTATTTTAGAATGATATACAATATGGTGGACAATTTTGTGATTACCCAAAATTCATCTGGTAAAGAATCTTCTTTTGGTAAGAGAATCAAAAAAAAATTTTTTTCCCCCCAAGACAGGGTTTCCCTGTGTAGTTTTGGTGCCTGTCCTGGATCTTGCTCTATAGACCAGGCTGAAGTCGAACTCACAAAGATCTGCCTGGCTCTGCCTCCTGAGTGCTGGGATTAAAGGCATGCACCATCGCTGCCACCCAGCTCTCAAAATTTTCTTTAGGGAAAGCATACTTCCCCTATATATATAAATTCAGGTGGGGGTTATACATGGAACTATTCCCCCCTCGCTGGGTAAGTGTAAAGAACTCCGCCAGTCCTTCCTGTATGCTTGGGCAGGCTGCTCATGCATGTTCCCAGCAGAGTCTGGTGAGAGCCTAGATCCACCTCCAAATACAGCAAATGAAGAATCTAAAACAGTCTACTTGTCTTATTGTCTTTAGTTCTGTTCCCTGCTCTTTACTTCATGTCTTTGCATCAACCCTGCTCCTTCCCTCCCAGCCATACACCCCTCCCTCCTTCACAAACTCTCAAAGTCAAATCCAGCCCCCATTCTTGCAACCAAGTACCCTGAGTTTCTCTTCTAAAGACGCTAAGATGAACAGGAAGCAGAAGTGTTAAGACTGAGGTTGGAGGGCAGCAGCCATGTGGTGTGAGGGATGAACTAATCAGACATTGATTTCATTTCTCCTTTGCGTTGTTTTCAGAAGCATCCAGGGGGAGAAAATAAACAGAGTCATGGAATCTCTCAATTAGTCTCCCAGTCCCTCGAAGAAGGATTCAATGTTTAACCCTCTCTAGTACTGGCCTTTTTGTGTTCTGTGCCCTGAATGGCAGTCTCCGTATCCCAGCCAATTCTGTTGTTAAAAAGTAAGTAATGTTTATCACTAACATCAAAAATGAAGCCTAGATCATATTTCCTATTGACATTTCCTATCACTGTCCCCTTACAAAGGAAAGTCTGGGAAATCATGAATGAAATAAATTTTGAATTCTGTGTCAGACCATGTCAGTTCCTTAGCTTTGCAGACCCCAAATCTGTTTCCAAATTAGATATTTTATTAGCTTTAATGTGTTTTCTAACCTGATTCAGACTCTAGACTGCATTTTGTAATTTGGATTCATTCATAATTTACTCTTCAAGAAATTATTGTATGAATAACAGCTGGGAAAGATCATTACTGTCTGCATTGTTCTAAGAACTGAGATCACGACAGCAAGTTAACACAGGCTTTCTCATCTGCCCAACACGAACTACTTGAATCAAGGAATGGAAAGGAAGAACGGCAATTGATATTTATTGAATATAAACTCTGTCAAGCATTATGCTAGGGATTTATCATCCCTATTTTAAGAGAAATAAACTAATGTTTGGGGATGCTAAATAACTTTTATTTACTACACATTTATTGAAAATTAACTATGTACCAAAACCTGGGCTACACCCTGGAAATACAAAGATGACTAAGCTGTTACAATAAATAGCAGAACTATGAATTAAAGCCAAGCACATTTATTCATGGAGCTCAGACTGTAATTAATATGTCTCAGTGTATCCACTATACCAAGTTTCTCCAATGTTTTATCACGAACCAAAGCAATGGGTGCTTTATCTACACATTTGTTTTCAGTTACTTTTAAATTAATAGAATTTTCAATTAAAAATAATAGAATTTTAAAGTAAAAAAATAATTAGATTTACACTTGATTTTTTTAGAAGATTGTAAATAAATAGGAGATGTATAATACAATATCATTGTATTAACTAGCTTTTTGTCACTGTAACAAAATACCTGAGAAAAACAATTTAATAGGGGGCAGAGACTCTAGTCCACAGTTGCTTTCCCCCCGTTGTTGAGGTCCTGTAGAAAGACAAGCCATCATGGTAGAGAGATCATGGTGAAGCAAAATTGTTCACATCATGGTGGCTAGGAAGGATAGAGAAAACAGGAAAGAGAATATGCTTTTGAAGGACATACCCTCAGTGATCTATGTCCCTCGGTGAAGCCAGCCTCTTACAGTCCCTTCTGTCTCCTAGCAGGTCTCTTGACAATGAGTCTATCAGCCGATCAATCTCTTGATGAGTTTAGAGCCTTCATGATCCAACCATCTCTGAATACTGCTACCCTGGGGACCAAGCCTTCAACACAGGAGTCTTTGGGGGAAGATTCCAGACCCAAACCGTCACAATAATCATACAAAAAAGAGTAATATTTATATCTATTTCAATAATCTATTCATGTAAAAAGAGAGACATAAAGCACATTAGCCTGGCTAGAGGAACATGACAGTGATATTATGAAGGATACCAAGATAAAATAAAGCAGGGGACACAGTAGAAAGAATGAAGGAAGCAAGGAAGAAAAGAAGTAAGGAAGCAAGAGAGGAAGAAGGAGCATTAGGTAACTATTGTTAACTAATAATCTTCAGAATTTCAGTGATTTACAATGCAAAAGTCTATTCCTCACACATCTGTAGGCTGTCTCAGAATGGGCTTATCTAGTCTGAGGATTTTTTATAAGCTATAGTTGGCTCCAGGAGAGTTCTGTTTCTCATTCTTCTTAGACCAGAAGAAGCCAACACAGGTATGCTCTGCAGTGAACAGGAGCTCAAATGAATGATCCCAACTATGCTGTTGGAATGGTATCAATGTCCTACTGGCCAAAACAAGCTGTATGGCCAAGCCCAAAGTCAAAGAATGTCTCCCCACCAGAGGACTACGGCATGAGCATGGATATACAATATATAACATCACTACAGAAAAGTTAAATATTTGTCATCAATATCTCCATCTACAATAACAGTAGGTAGATAGATACAGATGTCTTGTGTGCATATGCAAATAACTAGATAGACACATAGAGTTGTAAAAGTAAGGAGCAAGTGCAGAAGTGGATATTGGCAATAAAATAAAGTGAGAAGTACAATTAAGCAATCTTGCATATCTAAACTCCTAAAGGAAACAAGGGCAGACAACAGTAGGAATAGAAGGGGACCGATCACACACAAGCAAGCAGAGAGTTGGAGTGCCACCATGAATAATTGTAATTAGCCATGTCCATATTCATTATAGAGAACAGGAGTACAAAAAGAACGTATTTCCCTCTTTATTGAAAACTCATCAGTGTATAGTATTGGTGAAATTATTAAGGCCACTCCACATAGTTAAAAGGGAGGTTTATTTTGTGGGGTAACTTACAAGTGAAGGGATAGGTTACAGGGTCTGGGAAAGGTGTAGCGCAGGCCGGCGGTGTTCTCTGGAGAACTCTGCTCGGTCTACCTCCAGCATCCAGGATCCAGGAACCAAGAGAGACGGCGTATCCAGATCTCAGGTCTTCAGGGTCCTCTCTCGGCCTCGCCTTGTAGGAGTGACAGTTACCGAAGCCTCAACGGGGGTTAGAACTTCCAGATCAAAGCTGGAATGGCTACCCACTATAGTATAGAGTTTTTGTTTATTTCTTTTTTAAACAAAGAGAAGCGAAACCCACAGTGCAAGTGAGCCATAAAGGGCTTCTCCTCTTAGTAACACTGCGGCGTGGTCAATAATGTCAACGCGCTACAGTCTAAAACGAAGGGGGATGAAACCCAGTCCCGCTCTTCACTGTGTGTGCCACGGTTTTTTCTTTTCTTAATATTTTTAAATTTTAATTAGAGTATAATTACATCATTTTCCCCCTTCCATCTCCTCCCTCTAACCGTTCCCATGTTCCCCCCCCACACTCCCTTTCAAAGTTACGGCCTCTTTTTTCTTTGATAATTATTGTTACATATATGTATGCATAAATATGTGAATACAACCTCCTGCATCTTTTTTAGTGTTGCTTATGTGTATATGATTTCAGGACTGACCACTTTCTATGGTATAACAAATTAGGAGCTCATCCCAGAGAAAGACGTGTTCTCTCTCTCTCTCTCTCTCTCTCTCTCTCTCTCTCTCTCTCTCTCTCTCTCAGCAATCATTGGTTGTCTATACATCTTTGTCTAGGGTTCGGGTCCTTTGAGATTTCCACCTTCCACATTAGCAAATTTATTGGTATTGTCGCTATTAGGGTCTCCTTAAGGCAGCCATATTACTGCAGTATCATGGGTAGAGCTTCACTGTCATTTCTAGGGGACACATTCTCATGGCAAACTCCCCAGTCCTCTGACTCTTAGTATCTTTCCAGCCCCTCTTCTTCAGTGTCCCCTGAGCCTTAAGTGAAGAAGTTCTAGACATATCCCTTGGAGCCAGGCACCCCACAATCATTTGTTTTGTGTATGGCCAGTTGTAGTTTTCTGTAATAGTCTCAGTTTGCTGCAAAAAGAAGCGTCTTTGATGGGGGTGAGGGTGGTGAGTGCTACACTTATCTGTGGGTATAAAGGTAAGTATTTAGGATGTGGTTAGGAATTATGCGAATCTGGTAAAGAAGGAGTTGCAGGTTCTCCCATAAGATGCATAAACTCACTAGCCTGGGGTAGGTGGCTGTGTTTCCATTACAGGGTGTATTCCCTTCTTGTGTTGTGGGCCTTAAGTCTAAATTAGATAATTGTCAGTTTCTCTCAAGATGTGAGCACCACTGTTGTACCTTTAGATATATCCTGCCATGTCTGTTATTGCTGTGTGTCATAGGCATCACATCTGGGTAGTACTATTGACTGCTTCTCCTTTTGGGAGCTTACATAGCACCTTCTGGTGCCATGAAAGACCGTCCTCAGGAAGGAGGCCCGCAGGTATTTCCAGGTCGAGGCCAATGAAATCTGTGTCTGAAGTGCCCGGTGTCTTCAGCAATAAGGACTTACCTTCAACCTCTACTGTACTGAGTGAGGCAACCCAGACCAGAAAGACAAATACCGCATGTTCTCTCTCGTTTAGGTTCCTAGCTCCAAACCTTCCAGCGTGAGTACATAACCTGGAGCAAACAAAGAAACCAGGGAAGTAAAAACAGAACCATAGCAGGAGGCAGCAGTAGAGAGGCGAATAGCAAGATATTAGTGATATGAAGAAGAAAATGGGGGAAACTGGGAGAAGGCTTTAACTGGAAGCAGGAGAGGAAAGTCACCATGGGAGGAGGGGGAGGAGGGATGAATAACACTAAGGATATTTGGAAAAACCTTAAAGAAACATACTCTTTTGTATTTACCTAAAATTACATATAACACATATAAATGTACATACACATATGTAGATAGAGCTGAAATAAAGTTATGGAGCTTGGGATGACTGTTTTCCCCAAGAGCCATGGGCCATTTAACAGAAACACAGCAGCTGGCATGAAGCACCTCTTTTCATGAGCTGGTCAGGGAAGTCTAAGAGAACCCCCCAAACAACATAGGCTGTTTGCTATTGTTGCCTTTGTGCTACACGTCTTAACGTACTAATGCCTTTCCTTTGATACTAGCAGTATAGGTAGTACCAGAAGAAAAGTCACACAAGGAGTGTGCATGCCGTGGATAAGTAAGAAAAGTAGTGGTTTGGGGACCCATCTAGACAAAGGACTTTTATTTATTCATAGAGAAATCAGCAAAACGTTAGGTCAAGATCTTAACAAAGCAATGTGGAACTGATCTCTGAAACACACGGGGAACTTTGCAAACAAGCAAGAAAAGGACAGGAAATCCAGACAACAACAACAACAACAAACATGGGCAAAGAACAGGAACAGGCAACTGACAGCTGGGGAAATCGAAACAGCTACCATACACACAACAGATACGCATGCGCATTAGTAATCAGAGACTCACAAGGGTGTTGTTTGTTTTTCACAAAATGAGATACCGGTTTTTGTTTTTGTTTTTTTTTTTTTTTTGCAGAATGCACTCACCCAATGGATAAAACTCCGAAAGTACTGACAGAGTTGTGGGGAAGTTTTCATCTTCAGTGGTGGTGAATTATAAATGGGTGAAAACATCCTGTAGAGCATTTAGTGAAATGAAATATGAGTACACCCTTATGACTCAGAAATTCTCCAGGGAGTATGTTCTAGAGACTTCTCAGATCCACCAGGAAGCATAGCCAGAGAGGATGATTATAACATGATCAAGGCACCACACTCGGGAAGCAGCTAAGTACCCACTAGAGAATCTGGGTAACCTTAGATATCCACTAGGGTGGTGAATATATGAAATGTGCTACATGGGAAAGTCAGAAACATTATATACATATTGCATCAGTCTGCAAGACTCAGAGCAGTACACTAAATTTCACTGAGAAAAATGTATCGATCTCATAAGTATGATTGTAGATAAAAAGTAAGAAAAAGAATGAGAATTCTAGTATATTACCCTTTTCATAGCTCTCTCTCTCTCTCTCTCTCTCTCTCTCCCTCCCTCCCTCCCTCCCTCCCTCTGTCTCTGTGTGTGTGTGTCTGTGTAAGCCAAAGCAAGATGTTAAGTATCAACATTCTCCACTTTTTTTTTTTTTTTTTGAGGCAGTCTCTCACTGAACCTGAAGTTCACTGCTTCAGCTAGTCTGGGTAGCCATCAGACTCCTAGGACCTTCCTGGCCCTTCCCCACAAGGCTTTGGCTACTGACACCCACGCCAGTGCCAGGTTTTATGCGAGTTCTGGGGATTTGAATTCAGGTCTGGTTTTCCCAGCAAACGCTCTTACCTACCAAGCCATCTCCCAAATCCCTATCTTCAAAACTTTATGAAACATATAAAAAAAAGTGTACATTTTCTATATACACTAAATAAATGCACTGGAGGTGATTTGAAAAGATCTATGAAACATTATTGATGGAATTGCCAGAGAGTATTGAGGGTAGTGACCAACCAAGAAACATGTTTTAATGTGAAATATCCCCATAGCCTCATGGCTCCCAAATGATGGTAGTTTTGGAAAGTTGTGGCACCTTCTTAGAGCCTTGTTTTGAAGTGGGTTGGTCACTGGGGATAATCTCGAAGTTTTATAGTCCACCCACTTCCTACCCACTGTGTCCAGACTAAGGACACGATATTACAAGCTCTCTCAAGATCAAGCGTTCACAGCTCCGGCTGTACTTGGTACCATGGCTTCCCTGCCCTGATGAGCCAAACTCCAAACTCTGAGTCAAAACAATCCTCCACTAAGTTGCTTTTCCCTGGGTTCTAGGTCACATCAATGAGGAAACTCCTAATCCAGTAACCAGAAAACAAAACAAATAAACAACAATCAGCACCTTCCAAGCAGAGCAGCGTTCCACAAACCACGGCTCCCAGGTGCGTATACTGATAAACAACTGTTTGTGTCTCTCAAACAATTCTCTCTCCGACTTTGAAAAGTGCCGTGATTAGAAACTTTGTTTTCAAGGTCCCAAAGAAGTCCAACAGCAGCAGCGAGCACACAGAATTGAGGAAAACAAGACCATTTATAGATTTTTTTCTTGGCTTGTTGTGCATTTATATGCAGCAGGGGGAAAGTGCTGATCTAGAAGCCTGTTCTAGTGGTTTGAAGGAGTCTGCTGCAGATGAGCGATTGAACAATGGTATTTGTGTAAGTGAAATTGTTTTCCCTTTGTTCTCGTTCAGTGGCCATGATGTGAGGATTAAACACTCTATCAAATGGCTCCGTTTCTGGCCAAATAGCTGATTGCCAGGAAATGAGCAGCTTCAAAACGTTCTTACACAAGTCAGGCCGCTCCAGAGCTCTCTCCATCTCCTTTTTAAAGCAATAGATGTATTAAAGAGGGCACGACCCTTCGGCGAGTAGTAAGCTCAGGCAGGGCATCAGAGGTGGCACCTCAACTAATTGTACGGAGTCATTTTCCTACGCGTTAGAGAAAACGGGGCTCACAGATTCCTCCTGATTCTAAACCTGTCACTGCGCTGCTTGCAATTATAGGTCAATAGGACTGGTTGTGCGAAGTCATGCTGTGAAGTGGGGGTCTTCCAAGTAGAGATCCAGCAGAGGCAGTATCTACTGCTCTGCAGCTTGGGGTTCACACTCTTCGCTCTTGCTCTCCTGCGTGCTCTCTCCAGGGTTAGGGACTTACCCCAGGGTCCTGTACGAGCTAGCTAAGTGCTCTACTGTGGTGATATATTGTGTCCCCCAATATATTGTGCACTCTAATAAACTTATCTGGGGTCAGAGGACAGAACAGCCACTAGATAGACATAGAGGCCAGAAAATGGTGGCACACATGCCTGTAATCCTATCACTTGGGAGGCAGAGATCCATACGGATCTCTGTGAGTTCAAAGCTACACTGGAAACAGCCAGGCATGGTGACTCATGCCTTTAATCTCAGGAAGTGATGGCAGGAAGCAGAAAGGTATATAAGGCATGAAAACCAGGAACTGGAGCCTGGTTAAGCTTTTAGGCTTTTGAGCAGCAGTTCAGCTGAGATTCATTCTGCATGAGGACTCAGAGACTTCCAGTCTGAGGAAATAGGATCAGCTGAGGAATTGGCGAGGTGAGGTGGCTGTGGCTTGTTCTGCTTTTCTGATCTTTCAGCGTTCACCCCAATACCCAGCTCCAGGTTTGTTTTTATTAATAAGAACTTTTAAGATTCATGTTACACTCTACCTTTGAGGTGCCCCCCCCCCCCCCCCCCCCCCGCAAGCCTCTGCTCTAACACACAAGGAGATTTTTACATCTGGCTTTCCTCTCTCCTGGGCTGTTTAATGATCTAGTTCCAGCTCTTTGCCACTAGGTGTATATTTAGCATATTGGAAGGAAAACCACAAACAAGGATTTTACATGGGACTTAATCTGATAATTACATGGATATCTGAAAGCCAGACGGGAAAGGATAATGAAAACAATATAATTAAATAACTTGGAGGAGGCAGAAAAACTGAAGGAGAGGACCTGAGAAGCAGTGCTACATTTTATCAAAGAAGGGATACAAAGAGAAAGCTGATAAGGGATCACATTCCCTTTCAAAAGACTGGTGGGAGCTAATCCCTAAGCCTCCCTTAACCCAGTGCTCAGGTTCAGGTAGAATCAGATTCTCACTGAAAAAAGAACGGCAAGAAGTAATTTTGGCCCACTCCCAGGTCAATCCTTCCAATTCCAGGGGCTTGGGAATGGAGATAAGCCGTGAGAAATTTGGACTCCCTAAGAATACTGTTCTGTGAACATCAATTATTTTCAGTTAACTGGTGTCAGAGTAGCATATCTACTTGCCAAACCCCTTCTAAGGTATTTCAAAGGCCACGAAAACGGTGCTTTCAGAGAGCGAGCGGGCAACATTTCCTGGAGGTCCCAGATGGTGAGGTTGAGGGGTTAAGTGAGTCGCCTCAGGCCACATACTTCATTTTGAGGTACCAGGTGCCAACATGGGATTATCTCTCCACGACTGACTCTTCGCACAACAAATACACCTTCCTGAGGTAAAATACATCATATGGCACCCGCTGTTCATACAATATGAAGACCTCTCCTGAGGAGGCTAGACCTCCTGAAACTCACTCTTAGAGATGCCCAGAACACATTTCTGTAGGGCTCCCCTGGAGAATGTGGGTTTCTCATCATGTTTATTCAGCAGCAAGAACAGGAGGATTGTTCAAAGTAGAGGTGTGAAGCGGCACCAGCAGCTAGTTTGAGAATGTCACAAGCAAAACACACTCATTCTTAAAAAGGTAACTTACCATTTAAGAAACTGAGGAAACGTCTTGCCATGTGGAAAAGGCAGTGTGATGGGAACTGAGGAGTACAGAACTTCAAGTTCCCCAAAGGTCCAAACCCCCAGAACCTCAGAGCATGACCTTATTTGGAAATAAAATCTTTACGTACATTAAGATAAGGTCATTGGGTGGGTCATATTTTAATGTATCTCGTGTCCCAATAAGAATGAGGAATTAGGCTGTGGATATGGCTCAGGGATAGAGTGCTTAGCTAGCAAGCACAGGGACCTAAGTTCCATCACCCTGCACCACAATAAATTAAGCAAATAAATAGGGTGAGTATTGGACACAGGCATGGGTGGAAGATGAAAGAGAACCGCAGAAGGACATCTTGTGGAAACAAAAGTTGAAGGAATGACTCTACAAGCCACAGAATGCCAAAGATTGCTGGCAAGCCACCAGAAGCTGGAAAGAGGCATGCAAGGGTCCTTCCCCAAGGGCTTCAGAAAGAATGTAGCCTTGGCATCTTCTTGACTGTAGACTCCCAGTTTTCACAACTGTAGGCC